TGTGTGTGTGTGTGTATGTGTGTGTGTGTGTGTATGTGTGTGTGTGTAACGGGATAACACTGACTGCCATCTTGACTTGTAGTAGACCGGTAAAGACGAAAGACAAACTGGGGCCAGTCTTGCCTCATCTAGATTTGTCTTGAGGAGGGAAAAACAAGAAGCAATCAATTACATGGGACACACGCTCTAGCTAAACTTTACGCTTATTCAAATAGGAAACATAATCTGCCTGATAAGAGGTTAGGTTATTTGTGTCAAGGACCCTGTAGACGCACAGTATTTTGACACCATTATTCGTCATTCCTTGGGTCGCCCCAGACATGTCATGTAGACTTGAGAGTGAATCATCACAATACAGAACAGCCTCATGCGCCCCCCCCCCCTCAATCTTTCGGTCTTCCGGCTGATGGTTCGCTATCCTAGAAATACAAAGTTCTATCTGCTTAGTACCAAGTTTTGAGAAATTTGACGTAAAGAATTTTGATTTTCACAACATGCCAAGCTTTTTCGAATGCAATTCTATGAATATCCTGATGACTCCAAATATTCTTACGATTTTGACAGAGTAGATAGAATATGTTGTGCCCGACCTCATGGTCTTAGTAAATGACCAAAAATGTCATAGATCTATAGATCTTTTTAATTCTGAGATAGGGAGTTAGCACCGAGGTAGATAAGAACCTTTGAATTTTCTCTAGGTACCTTTAAGATTTCAAATCAATCTATTTAAAAGAAGATTTTTTAGAATGGCCAATGCCTAGAAATAATATCATTTTCATTATAATCAGCGTAAATCAGAAGCAAATCGACAACAAGCGCTAGAAATGGGTGCCATGTGTCCTGTGTAGTGCATACCTCTGACAATCAGTTCGGTGGCGATATATCGAGGCAAAAATATATTAGTTCAATGGAGACCGTACAACTCAGACAGTTGACGGATGGCGAATGGCCATATAAAGGCAAAAATCTAGTTTATATTACAGGCATTCAGGCGCTGTTAACCGCCTTGGTTGTCTCTCCTCGTGTCCCTGTTTAGTTTCGTCCCAAAAATGCTCAATTTGGTTTTAATACCGGCAAAAGGCAGGGTAAGGCTACAAGGTGATGCCATGGTGCTGGGGGAACTCTACGTAGCCCAGGCAGTGTGCGCACATGCGTTATCTTGCTGGAACAAGAAGTTAAAAATTTTGTCTGTGTAGAGGGGGGCGATGAACTTCTGCTACGCAGCGACCAGCTTGACACCTTGACCTCGACTTTGACCTTGATTTTGGAAGATCACTGGTCCTACTTTGTGGTTATTCCACATGCAGCTAACCCCAGATCATGATGCTATGTCCTCCCAAAGATTCCTCTATTTGACACCGTTGTCACGATAACGTTTGCCTCTCTCATGATAAACTCTGAGGTGCCTGTTGTTTTTGTATTTATGGAAAACAGTCATTTGCTCGAAAAGAGGACCAAAGACTAGTCTCAGACTAGTCTCAGACCAGTCTCTCTGACGCCTGTTGACATGTTGCTGAGCCCAGTCGAGACACTCTTGGCGATGGAGTGCAGTCAAGATTGGGTCATATTAAGGTCGATGGCTTTAAAGACCCACCTGAACCAATCGTCGGCTCATTCTGAGTGTCGACTTCTGGCTGTTCTGTGGGTACTCCTTATCAAATCTGACATTCTTGTTGCTGTCTGAAGTCGATTTTCACGATGCTTCGGGACAATTTGTCTATCTGCAGGTGCGTCAGCCAATCTGGGATCTGTGTCAACCTGATTTTTGTCAGTCCACCGTAAAATTCGTGAGCTGAAAACAGGTAAACAGTCTGTGGATAGTCGAGATGTGAATACCAAAATGATTTGCGACCGTAATTGGTCTGTTCCCACATTCCAAACGGTCAAATGCAAAACCAGTCTCCTTTCAGTGGATATGCAATATATGTCCATTCTACATGTATCAATATTGATGCTTTCAATGTACTAGCGAAGATAATTTTACGTCTCTTTGATTTTACACAATTTTGCAAAGCCTGATTTTTTAAGGTCAATTTTGAGTGGCTATATATGTCGGGCGCCTCTTGATATAGATGAAATTGTGAGGCAGCGTGGTGGAATCAGGCTCTCGTCTAAATAATCAAAGTGAAGAAACTTGCTTTTTTCTGCAGGTTTGTGAAATTTTATCAAATTTTTGTTTTTTTTAGCTCAAAACCTTTCATGCCTATTAAAGAACTCCTTTCTGTGCGGATTTTTTAAGGAAAAACGTTGATTAAAGGTACAAAAAATGTAAATTTTCAGTTTCCACGGACTCTTAAGCTAAGGAAATAACTAATCTTTGGCGGCAATTTTCTCACTAATTTTACCTCTAAAAACAGGTGACCCCCTCCTAAATGGATATTATTTTTCAACCAAATAAAGACAAGTGAACAAGCTTTAAGATGACACCAGTAACTCTACATGCCCAAAATTTGACGAGAGCCTGATTCCACCACGCTGCCTCATATATTAATGTGTCTGATGATGCAGAATTTATTTAGCTTTAAATTGGTATGCTGCATGCCGGGGGGGGGGGGGGGTAGTGCAAGGCTTTAGTACGATGATTGGGTGATTACACTTTCAAGTTTCTGTTGGTCGCTTGTGTATATACCGCCAAGTGAAACAAGTGCCGGACTGATATAGTGGTAGACCACCAAGTTGAAATGGAACATCACAGCTGACCGACCTGTGGACCGGCACTTCCAAATGTTTGTTTTTGTTTCCTTTTCAGGACAGAGACAGAATTCTGACAATGTCATACTCAAATAAGGAAATTCTCGAACGTGCCCGAGAGGTGCTGAAGGAAAGCGAGGACGGTCTGTTTGAGGGGGTGACGTACTTCATAACCGGAACCGTTCCAGATCAACCTCGGATGTTCCACAAGATCAAACATGTAGAATTGAGTGACAGTGACGTCATCTTGGACGGTTACCCCAGGTCTGGGAATCACTGGATCTTTGAGGTCGTCGGGGCGATCTTGAATCAGGACATTGGAAACGAGAAAGATGATTTTCTTTTTCGTCTCTTGGATTTCATGGGTGATGACGTTGAATCGCGCATACACAGCCTTCCAGCTCCTAGAATGATCAGTTCACATCTGTGGGTGTCACGTCTTCCCGAAATAATCCAGCAGGGTAACGTCAAAATAGTCTACATTCTGAGAAATCCAAAAGATGCACTGGCATCCTGGTATCATCTGCTGAAAGAAATTAAGTTGCCTTATGGTTTCGCAGGAACCTGGGGAGAGTTCTCTGAGCTTTCGGTGAGTCTGTAGAAGTGATACGTTCTTTGAGCTTTCGGTGAGTCTGTAGAAGTGATAAGTTCTTTGAGCTTTCGGTGAGTCTGTAGAAGTGATAAGTTCTTTGAGCTTTCGGTGAGTCTGTAGAAGTGATAAGTTCTTTGAGCTTTCGGTGAGTCTGTAGAAGTGATAAGTTCTTTGAGCTTTCGGTGAGTCTGTAGAAGTGATAAGTTCTTTGAGCTTTCGGTGAGTCTGTAGAAGTGATAAGTTCTTTGAGCTTTCGGTGAGTCTGTAGAAGTGATAAGTTCTTTGAGCTTTCGGTGAGTCTGTAGAAGTGATAAGTTCTTTGAGCTTTCGGTGAGTCTGTAGAAGTGATAAGTTCTTTGAGCTTTCGGTGAGTCTGTAGAAGTGATAAGTTCTTTGAGCTTTCGGTGAGTCTGTAGAAGTGATAAGTTCTTTGAGCTTTCGGTGAGTCTGTAGAAGTGATAAGTTCTTTGAGCTTTCGGTGAGTCTGTAGAAGTGATAAGTTCTTTGAGATTACGGTGAGACTTTCTTTCTCTATTTCTTGGCGTTGTCCGTCCACTGCAGGATGTAGCCCCCCAACAATGATCTCCACTCTGTTTTACTAGCTATCTTCTGCGTCCAGGTTGTACCCATCTGATTTCTGCTCTATGATGTCCCTCTGCCATCTTCACTGTGGTGTTCCCAAAGGTCTTTTTCCTGTTCTTGGTCTCCATTCTGTCCACCTTTTTGTCCATCTGTTGTCCTTCACTCTGGTGAGAAAAAGTCGTGGAAAACTCCGAAATGGGGTCCTCCTTCTGCATGACAACGCCCCTGCGCACAGGGCACAACAGGCAATCCAATGAGCAGAACAGTGCTGCTTTGAAATCCTGGCTAACAAATTACCCAAAGGACGTCTTTTCCATGAAAACGAGGACGCCATTGAAACTGTTGAAGATGGTTAGTGGCCCATTCTTGAGGACGCCATTGAAACTGTTGAAGATGGTTAGTGGCCCATTCTTTATTCTTTCAAATTTAGACCAAAGAAGAAGAAGAAGAAGAAGAAAAAGAAGAAGAAGAAGAAGAAGAAGAAGAAGAAGAAGAAGAAGAAGAAGAAGAAGAAGAAGAAGAAGAAGAAGAAAAAGAAGGAGTATGAGTAGGAGTAGGAGAAGGAGAAGGAGAAGGAGAAGAAGAAGAAGAAGGTGAACAACAACAACAACAACAACAACAACAACAACAACAACAACAACAACAACAACAACAACAACAACAACAACAACAACAACAGCAACAACAATAACAATAAAAACAACACAAACAAAAAAAAGTACAAAAACGAGACAGTTAAATAATGGTATTAGATTTATGTTGCTTGTAACTTTGAGCGAAACACCCCTTTAAAATGACTTTTAATGACAGAGTAAATTTTCTGGGGAGTTTTGTAATCAATCCATGTATCAAAACAATAAAATTGAAAAATATTTTCAACAGGGATTCACAAAAACTAACTATAAAACTAAAAGTTTCGCATGTTGATTCTCTTAGCACATCGGTGCCTCAACTCTGTGTTTATTATTCATATTTGAGTCACTGTGAAGTAATTGTAAGAAAGACACTTTTCAAAATGTAACTCATTTAAAGGAGAGGACGTGGCAATTCACTTTTATAGAAAACGCTTTATCATTTGCTTTTTCGCTAGCTGTTCGAAGGTATTGGAGTGTGAACGTTCCACAATAATCATCTTTTACTGTCATAATCACTTGACCTATATCCTTTTTTCCCAGTTAGTCGGGGAGATCCCGTGGGGATCCTGGTTTGACCACGTCCTCGAGATGGAGAAGTTTTTGAAGGAATACCCGGATAGCCCCGTACACGTCATTCAGTATGAGAAGATGAAGAAAGACCCCGTTAGCGAAATCAAGAAGCTCTGTGACTTCCTAGGCCGACTGAATGTGAATGTTGAAGAGCTAGCTCTCGCAACAAGCTTTGCGCAAATGAAACAAAACAAGGATCCTGTTTACAGGCAGAGCGAAGGGACTTTTTGTCACAAAGGCTCTCTTGGTGTGATGGTCAAAGGAACGATTGGTGGATGGTGCGAACGGTTTACTGTGGATCAGAGCGAACGCTATGATAAAGCTTTTGAAGAGAAGATGAAAGGCAGTAAGCTGGCGGATATGGTGAGAGAATATATTTAGGTACGTCTGACTGGTGTTTCGGTTCCGACTTTGAATACAGAACAACCTTTCAGAAGAAAGTATGTTTTAAAAGTTGATTCCAGTTCTTGCTCTGCATGCTCTACACACGACAGAACATTACCTCTCAAATGACCAAAGACTTTTTACCTTTATGCCCACTGTGCGGAAGATGGGTAAATTATCTGGCAGCTTTTTCAATACGCCTTGTGCGTGTAAGGTTTACCTTAGTTTTTATTCAGATTTGCTGGTAGATTCCTTTTAGTGTGGAATCTTTTTCATGAAATGTCCATTCAGTTAGAACTGTGAAGACAAAAATAACAACAAAGCCATTCTCACACACTTTTTTGGCTTTACAGACTGGGAATTAAAAGCCTGAGGATTTATTTAGTCGTTGTATGCCTCAATATGGTCTATGCATGGAGACCTGATAAATGAATTCAAATCTTGATAACTTAAAAAAAACCCAACTATTGCCCGATTTTACTGATTTAAACGGCGGATTTAATCTTTTTACAGCTATTCTTATCCAATAAAGAAAACCTACTTTCAAACATTTTGACTTTTTGGTGGTACCTACTATTGCAATGTATAATTTCATGAAGAATTCACTAATTAGCACATCTATAAACCAAATTGAACCAAACAACGGCAAACTTAACAGTGTGCAACTTGCCTTGTCTTGTGGTATTATGTCATGACGCCTTTTTTCCACCAAATCACACTCTAAGTTTACATATATCTCATCACATTCCACCAAATCAGAACTTACTGTCTTCTTGTTATAGTCCATCAAATTTGTAATGTTTGAAAGAGCAGTACCTAGGGTTTATCGATAGCTCGGGTGGTGGGGAGAACATTGTTTTAATATGCTGCTTGCAGCACTGCACAAATAATCTGAACGAAAGGAAAAAGGTAATGCGCTTTTAGTTACATAGTTTTACATAATGTTATTGTATTATAACACCGTTCAACACCCCATTAGACATAATTAAAGGACGCCTTATGTTTGGGAGAAAAGATGGCCAGTCTCTATAGTATAACCATTCCTTCAGCACCATATGCCCCATATTGTTAACACTCACTTTATATATAATATATACCTATGTATGTATATATATAAAATATGTATATATATATACATATGTAATATATATAATAATAATAATAATAATAATAATAATAATAATAATAATAATAATGATAATAATAATAATAGTAATAATAATAATAATAATAATAATAGTAATAATAATAATAATGATAATGATAATAATAACTTGGTTCAAGAATGGATCGGACTTGACAGAAATCGGCACCACAGGTTGTAACCTCCGCCCCTGTGTAAAATCGGGTTGATTGAAAGATTGAGTAGGTGTTTTACGGCACTCTCAACCCAATGTCAAATCGGGTATTATATTATTATTATTAATATGCTGTGAAGCTGCGTTCAGGATGATTTTTGTCTGATGTTTATGTGTCAAAGCTGATGATCTCAGGCCACTTTGTTACTCTAGTGTGTGCAGGCACGTTAAAGATCCCTTGGTGGTCCAAAATCGATAAGAGTAGGCTTCGGCCGCCTCCGGGGGAAAATTCAAAATTTCCTACCTACTGAACATGTTTAAAGTGTCCAGCGCGCTCGTATGACCTTATGCAGCTGCGAGCGCCGTAAAACACTAATTATAAAAAAAAAAGAAAAGAAAAAAGGGTGCGCAGGGGCTTGGTCGGGGCTGTGGACTGCCCAAACCCACTCAAGACTGTATGACAGAAACGCTGGTCTATGCAAAGGGGAACAACCATTCCAGTTTAGTCTTTCGTGGTGTAAAGTTTCATTCTTGTTTACTTCCCTTTAACGTTAAAGAAAACGCGTTTAAAATGCTTTTTCTGTTCTTTTTTATTTTTTGTTTTGTTTCAAATTTGATATTTATACAATCTACTTGATTTCTAAAAGTTAATTCTCTTCAATTTTTCATTCTTTTTTTGGGGGGTGGGTGGTGCAGAAATCAATACAATCCAGGATCCCACGATCTGCCCCTGACCAAGTACAGCGGTACGGTACAGTGGATGTTGGGCGCCACACAGTGGCCACCGAGAAGTGTTCACTAGGATCGACTCCGGAACCGATTCCCACGATTAATGTTGTAGGCCACGATTTGGCCTTCCAAAATTCAATGTGGCAAACATTACATTCAGCCCGTGAGTTGTTTATATTCAGCCGGTGACAACTCACGAGAATTTTTCCCGTGTCAGTAAGCTAGAGGGAAGACATAATTCAGACGAGCTGGGCCCAGCGACGCGACGAGGGAACACGAAACTGGATCAATACCTACATCCAATACAAGTTAGTGAAAACTTACATTGGTGACCCCGATAAGAACACGTCTATTCGATATGCATAACACGGACGATGTTCGCTGCGTCGCTTAAACTCCGGACTTCCGGAACTATTCACCAGAGGTCTGGTTCGCTCATATCGAAGCGCAGTTTGGACCAAAAAAAATTAACGGCCGACCAGACAAAATACGATTACGTGGTTAGCACCCTGGACATGGACACCACAGAAGAGATACACGCTGTATTGTTGAATCCTCCTGAAAACGGGAAATACGAGCACTTAAAAATGTCCTTATCCAGACATTTGGCAAATCGCAAGCTCAAAAAGACCTAGAACTGCTGAACCTCAATGGTTTGGGGACAGGACGCCCACGGCCCTCTTAAGACGCATCAACGCGCTCAACGATGATCCACAAACTCTCAAACGAGCTCTGTTTTAGCCAACCTCCTCTGAGAAATGAGAAACATCCTAGCAGCTCAAAATCACCCGAACGTTGAGGAATTAGCCAGAGCAGCTGACCATATCTGGGAAGCACAGGCAGCTCAGCAGTATGTCAACCCAACACACTCCTCAAGCTCAATTCAAGTCCAAGCAATGGAGCAGAAAAGCAGACCTAGGTTCGATAAAGGGAACGATAACCTATCAGCAACAGCAAAACCCACTCGCTTTCCGCAGCAAGCAAACCAGAACCCAGCTAACAACAGGTACAGAAACTCAACCTCTTCTGTGTGCTAGTATCACACAAAGTTCGGACCTTCGGCCCGACGATGCCTACCAGGGTGCAAGTTTGCCTCATTGCTGACTTCTGTCAATCAAGCTACCCCCTCAAACAGAGTCGGGAAACGACCCAGTCGATGTCTAGGCTTGTCAGCCACCGGCTTCATCCGTTCCAACCAAAGCACGCTTTCAGTCATGGACAAAATCACAGGGGAAACATTTTTAGTCGACAGAAGAGCTAAGGTCTCAGTTTACTCAGTCTCTCGCTCTGACAGACAAGGGCGCGCGACAGAACCTTTGTCAGCAGCAAATGGCACCAAAATAGCCACATGGGGTAAGAAAGAAATGTTTCTAGTTATACGACTTAAAAAAAAGTTTTCTCACATTTTTTTCGGGCGGACGTAACTAGACCCATCCTTGGTGCCGGTTTCTTTATCAAACATGGTTTGGTGATAGATTTGAAAGGTCGTCGACTGATAACTTCTGAGAGTCTACAAACTGACACTGTAAAGCACCCCAGAACCTTTAGTAGTGGCAGGTCTATCAATAACTCCCCACAATAACTTCACTCAGCTCCTACTGAAAGAATATCCTGATCTTCTTACTCCCAGTTTCGATTCAACTATCAACAAACACGGGGTAGAACATTACATCGTAACTGAGGGCCCCCCAGTACATGCACGTGCACGGTGGTTGGACGCACAAAAACTCCAAGCAGCGAAAGAGGAGTTCAGGAAAATGGAACAGATGGGTGTTTTACGTCGGTCAAAATCAGCTTGGTGGTCACTTGCGGAGACTATCGCTCCCTGAACAGTAAAACTCAAGATGACCGATATCCTCTGCCCCATATTCATGATTTCAACAACAACCTCACGGGCTGCACAACTTTCTCCAAAGTTGATCTCATCAGGGACTATCATCAAATACCCATGGCTGAAGACTCAATCCCCACAACCGCCATAGTAACTCCTTTTGGACTCTGGGAATTCGTTCGAATGCCTTTCGGCCTTAAAAATGCAGCACAGTCATTTCAACGCCTCATGGACGGCGTGCTGCAAGATATTCCCTTTGCTTTTGTCTACATAGACGATATCCTGGTTGCAAGCAAATCCAGTGATGAACATTTTGCTCATCTCAAACAAATATTTGATGTACTTCGAGCAAACGGCCTAGTCATCAACAAATCAAAATGCGTTTTTGGCGCAGATTCCCTAGATTTTCTAGGTCACAGAGTCACATCCCAAGGAGTTCAACTGCTTCCCGACCGGATCAAAGACCTACTGAACACACCTGCGCCCAGAGATCGAAGTGCTCTACAACGCTTCCTTGGAATGATAAACTACTACCACGGTTTTCTGCCCAACATAGCTGCTGTCCTGGACCCATTGCACAAGCAATCAAATGGAAAAGGACAGAAGATCGCTAAGGATGACGCCTGTCAAGAAGCATTTATTAAGTGCAAAGAAATTTTGGGAGCTGCAGTTTTTGTTACACCACCCAAATCCAGGTGCACCAACCAGTGTAACAGTGGATGCATCCAACAATGCGGTCGGAGCACAACTTGAACAGCGCATAGGGAGACTGTGGATACCACTTGCATTCTTCTCAAGAAAACTTTCAGAAACAGAAAAGAAATACAGTGCCTTTGACAGAGAACTCTTGGCGGCTTTCAGTGCCATCAAGCATTTCAGGCATTTTCTAGAAGGTCGGACGTTCAATCTGTACAATGACCACAAACCACTCACATCAGTCATCGGATCTCACACAGACCGATCCCCTCTGCAGGCGCGTCATTTGTCTTACATTGCTGAGTTTACAAAAAAACATCTGTCATATCAAAGGAAAGTTCAATGCGGTAGCAGGTGCCCTGTCCCGAATCAATCAGGTGTCCGCTACACAGCCAACACGGCCAGAGCAAGCAGCTATAGACAACTACCATCAGTTACCGAAGGCACAGGCTGAATCGGGAGAAATGGATTCCTACTTGCAAGACAACACAGGCCTGGAGTTCAGCTACATTTACCGCAAGTGAGAACATACTTTGTGCGATGTGTCTACAGGGACGGCGAGATCAGTAGTTCCGTCGTCATGGACTCGTCACATTTTCAACAATATCCACAACTTGTCACATGCTGGAGTGAAGCCAACACAAAAGGCCATAACTCAGCGATTTGTCTGGCATGGTATGAAGCGCCAAATCCGCCAGTGGTGCAAGGAATGTCATTCTTGTCAAGCCTCTAAAATTCATCGCCACACTCAGGCTCCACTAGTGCCAAAAGACATACCTTCTGCAAGGTTTAGAAGTATTCATGTGGACCTGGTAGGACCATTATCAGTAAGCCAAGGTATGACATACATCTTTACAGAGATCGACCGCTTCACTAGATGGCCGAAGCTATTCCCCTTCCAGATGCACAAGCCACAACATGTGCCTCTGCTCTCTTACATCATTGGGTC